AGTCCCGGTGCATGAGCATCTTGACCGCCACCATGACGCGCGAACTGAACATATAAATTAGTTAGGAGGGGGAGAACCGTGACTGACTCCGTGAGCCGAGCGGTCGTCGGCCTAGGAAGACAGGATGGATGGCCCGCAGCCAGCACTGCTACGAAATACACGATTGGTTGTCACTTCACCGCCCATACAATATAGTACAGCTCCTGTCGTCGTTTGTCATCGATCATGTACGGAGTACTAGACGGATGGGCGTTCATGACTTTAATTATCATACCAATAACAATGTTAATCATATAGTACTCGCTCTCCCTCCTCTAATATAAACGCATACCGACCTCCTCCTTGAGAATCCTAAAATAAACATATATCAGAACAACGTCGGTACATAGTACTAGCTATCATGGCAGGAATGGAGACGTCTTGCCTACCATCGTACTCTACATTCTTACGACAGCGTCCATGTGCGCCATTACACTCCTTGTCCTTCCACTGCCCTCTGCGGCTGCTGCTGCTCTCTGTCTGCATCTACTCCATGTAGCTAGCGAAGAGACTGACGAGCGTTGACAAGCAAGCAGGGAGCATGATCCGGCGTTGCATGCCTACTTGACCTGTCTTTTTTATTGTTGCATTAATCTCGTCTAAACAACTGTTACCTTACGTTGTTGATCTGATGATGACCTTATATATGCTACCACCATTTACCACTTTACATACCCTGCGTATATACAACATGCACGATGGAGAGCTAGAACCTGAAATAATAGCATATTATTATATATATATATATATATATATATATATATATAATATCTTCTACCCCCTCTGTCGCCGATATTAAGATGTGCATGTATTTTAAAATACAAATTTTGTTATCAATGCCCAACAATTATTGTAATCATATATGAACTGTATACTACAGTAAGTGGTTATATTGGCTTTGTATATATTTAGAAATTATTTTGTAAACTGGTATACATGGGCCGGTTCAAACCCAATCAACTTGTAGAACCTACACAGTTAAAACCGATCTGGACTTTTCCATGTCTAGGTAGGTTTGGCCCGAGCCATCACCAAGCCCAATTAGGCCTACAAACTTTATTGTTATTAGCATTTTTGAAGATTTTTATCACAATTTACGACACCTATTCTAACACAATTTGCTAAGATTTCTTTAGCCCTGCAAAGTTTTAATTTAAAACTCGACTTATACGTGTAGAAACCTTAAAGATGAGCAACTAAAAGGTATAAAAATAGTAAATTGAACGAAAAATTAGTTAGGAGGGAGACCCGTGACTGACTCCGTGAGCCTAGCGGTCGTCGGCCAAGGGAGATGCGATGGATGACCAGCAGCCAGCTCTGCTACAAAGTACATGATTGGTTGTGACTTCACCGCCCATACCATAGTAGTACAGCTCCTGTCGTCGTCTGTCATCACATACGGAGTACTAGTAAGACGTATGGGCGTTCATGATATTAATAATCATACAAGTAGCAATGTTAATCATAGAGAAAAATTCATGGCCAGTTCCTACACTTAGCGTGGGGTGTCATCTAGGTTCGTGTAATATCAAAAAGCTATTTTTAGGTCCCTAAACTTTGTTCCGTGTCTCACCTACGTCCAAACAGATCTTAGCCCACTACTTATGCTGACGTGACATGCATCGAAGTGGACCCAATAGGTGGGGCCCACTTGTCAGGTCTTTCTCTCCTCTCTGTTTCTTCTCCGCTCGTTGACGCCACCCTCGCCGGTGGAGTCGGACTAGTCCTCGTCGTCTAAGTAGCGTTCCTCTCCTCTAAAATAAATGCATTTCTACCTCCTCCTTGAGGATCCTAAAATAAACACATATCTACCTCCTCCTTGAGGAGTCTTTGTTTTTAATTTTGACAGTACACAGTACTAATCAGCTATAATGGCAGTAGAAATGGCAGACACACCCAATAACTCACACGGTCTAGACGGACGTCTTGCCTACCATCGTACATTCTTACGACAGCCTCCATGCGCGCCATTACTACTTCTTGTCCTTCCACTGCCCTCTGCGGTTGCTGCTGTGTTCTCTGTCTGCATCTACTCTATGTAGCTAGCAAAGAGACCGACGAGCGTTGACACGCAGGGAGCATGCATGGAGGCGTTGCCTACAGGGACCTGTGTCTTTTTTTTTTCCAGTAATCTCGTCTAACTAACTGCTACGTTACGTTATTGATCTGATGATGACCTTATATATGGTACCACCATTTACCACTTTACGTACCCTGCATACAACATGCACGATGGAGAGCTAGAACCTGAAATAATAGCTTTTATAGTATAGATATATGTATCTTCTACTCCCTCTGTCACGATCTCAAGACGTGCATGTATTTTAAAATACAATTTTTGTTATCGATGCCCAACAATTATTGTAATCATATATGAACTTTATACTACAATAAGGGGTTACAGTGGCTTTGTAAATATTTATTAGAAAATGCACAATCAACTCGTAGATCCCGCACAATTAAATTTGATCTGGAGCAACACACAATCGTTGAATTGTGTTGCAGGAAGACGCGTACGCTAGTACTGTACTGTATTATGTTCGCCATTCATGTAGAGCAACACACAACACCTATGTTTCTTGCACATATAAAATATACCTTCTTATTAGCATTTTATGAAGACTTTCTAGCACAATTTGTGACACCACCTATTCTCACGTAACACGATTTGCTAAGATTTGTTTAGCCCTGCGAAGTTTTTATTTAAAACTCGACTTATATGAGTAGAAACCTAAAAGATGACCAACTAAAAGGTATAAAAATAGTAAAATGAATGAAAAATTGGTTAGGAGGGAGACCCGTGACTGACGCTGTGAGCCGAGCGGTCGTCGGTCTAGGGAGATGCGATGGATGGCCAGCAGCCAGCACTACTACGATATGCATGATTGGTTGTCACTTTACCACCCATACCATATATAATAGTAGTAGTACAGCTCCTGTCGTCTATTATCATGTACGGAGTACTAGTAAGACGAATGGGTGTTGGGTGTTCATGACATTAATTATCATACCAGTAGCAATGTTAATCATTGAGGAAAATTCATGGTCGGTTCCTAAACTTAACGTGCGGTGTCATCTAGGTTCATGTATTATTAAAGAGCTATTTTTTGGTCAATAAACTTGATTCCGGATCTCACCTAGGTCCAAACGGATCTTAGCTCACTACTTATGCTAACGTGGCGTGCATTACCCAATAGGTGGTGGGAACCACTTGTCAGTTGCTTCTCTTCTCTCTGTTTCTTCTCCGCTCGCCGGCGCCGCCCTCGCCGGTGGAGTCGGACTAGTCCTCATCGTCGTAGTAGCGCTCCTCTCCTCTAAAATAAACGCATTTCTACCCCATCTTGAGGAACCTAAAATAAACACATATCTACCTTCTCCTTGAGGAGTCATTTCTTTTTTAATTTTGACAGAACAATACTAGCTATCATGGCAGTAGGAACAGCAGACACCAAATAATTCACACGGTGTAGACGTCTTGCCTACCATCGTACATTCTTACGACAGCCTCCATGTGCGCCATTACCGCTTCTTGTCCTTCCAATGCCCTCTGCGGCTGCTCCTCTTCTCTGTCAGCATCTACTCCATGTAGCTAGCAAAGTGACCGGCGAGCGTTGACAAGCACGGAGCATGATCCAGCGTTGCCTACAGGGACCTGTCTTTTTTATTGTTCCATTAATCTCTAAACAACTGTAACGTTACATTGTTGATCTGGTGATGACCTTATATATGCTACCACCATTTCGCACTACACGATGGAAAGCTAGAACCTGAATTAATCAGGAATGCTAAACACCACACGGGTGTTTTAGCACCTATAAACACACGATTTTTTCCGTGTGTCTGACGTGAGGCTCCGACCGACTCCTCCCCTCCGCACTCCCGTCCTCCCCTCCGCGTGCTCTCTCTCTCTCTCTCTCACCGGCAACGGGACCGGCGAGCTCCTCCTGGTGCCCGCGCCTCCTCGCGCCCAGGCGACGGCGCCGCGCGCAGCCCCTGGCCGGACCGGACCTCCGTCGCCGCCACCAGGCCGGACCTCCGCCGCCGCCCCCGCGGCACGGCCATGCCCGCTCCGCCGCGATTTGTTGCTTGTGATCTGTGCCAACACAGCCGCGATTTGTCCTTGTCCTTTCATAGAAAAAAATTGTTTCTTGTGATCTGTGCCAACGAAGAAGATAAACAGTGCCGCGGGCGCCGCGACGGGCGGCTAAAGGTAGAAGATGAACAGTACGCAGCGGTCGGCTGAAGGTAGAAGATGAACCGTGCCAGAAAAATTCAGGTGTGGAGTTAGGATAAAACACCCAAGTGTCAAACAGACTATCGGTTATCATAGAGATCTGACCTTCTGGTTATATATTGTCTCTCCATAGGGTGGAGGTTCGTCTGCGACTGTCAAGCTAGAGCAATATATCATCACAATTCACAAATCATCTAGTGCAGCTCCTCGGTTTCCTGACACCGGCCTTGAGTAGCTGCTATACCCGAGTAAGTACAGACTGCTCACTTTTGTTTCATAGTTGGATACAACGTTAATTGTTGAGAATTACCTTTGCATTGCAAACTAGAGTTTAGTTATTTCCTCAAGAGAGAGATAGTAGAATCCTCAACTTGTAACAAGCCTGATATATGGTGTGCATGGTCCTTATATACAGGAAGCACTGCACATCTTCTCATGGTTCTTAATTACTGAATGAAACCCACGCACAGATCCCCAGTCATTATATTTATAGTCAAATGAAATCAGCAGCAACTGCTATGCATCCCCAGTTTGATTCTTGGCTCTACCTCACCAGTGTTTATACAAAGTTGTGGTGGGGGGCTTAATTAATAAGCACCTCTCTTCGTTAATCTGTTGGAAACCATAGGGTCATTCAGTCCTGCGTGAGTTGTGACGATGTTTTAAATTTCTTCAGGAATTAAGCGTGAGGGAAGGGAGGTTGTGTCGTCGTCATCAGAGGATGATGATGGGCCTCGACCTCGATGATATCCGCGACCATGTGGCATCGCTGTTCATCATGCTGAACAAGAAGACAGCGATCTTGTTCCGCATCGAGTTCTTGGTGGTCCTCGCCACGCTTCTGTTCTTGGCCATGTTCTTCATGGACCTTTTTCGGCGCACCATCCACAGCCCGTTCATGAGAGCCGTGTTTAGCGTCTTCGACGCAGTCTCCGACTCCATCGTCGTGCACCTCCTGGGGGCCATCCAAACGGCGCCTTTCAAGAATCAGCTGTTCCCAGTCTGGGCCCTCATGCTTGTCAATTTCCGCTACAGTGCAGACTACATCTCCAGCTATGGTGTCCCTGTCCCTCGTGGGCGAAGGTTCGCTGAATGGAGGAACGTGGTCAAGCTACTGGGATCGGCGTTCTCGAACCGGACGCGTGGATCCCGTTTCACTGGCCCACTTTGGTTGGTCTGGGTTCTGCAGGTGATGAGGAGCGCCTACATTATATGGCGTGCAGGGCCTTCTGGCAAGGCAGGAGTTCGGAGCTTGTTGCAGAGCACATGCTTGCCATGCATAGCAGCAGCATGAACAAGGGAGGAGAATTAATGGACCCAGTCCCAGACACAGCAGCGACGATGAAAGGCTACAAGTACTTGGTCTATGGAGAAACAAAGCTGCAGTGGCAAGGAGGTTTCAACAGACTAAAGAAGCCTCAGTACGCATTGTGTATCGACCAGCAGCAGGATCAGGATGCTACTGCTAACGACAACGGCGGCGGCGCTACTAGAATCCACAGGCGCAGAAAGGAGAAGACATCATCAGTACCGGTGCTGACGTTGGACAAGATCTGGGACTGTCCCATTCCCATTCATAAACAGCCACAACCACATAGCCTGCAGCAGGGCCAGGGCCGGGGTGAGGATGATGATGGGAGTGGGACCAAGGTTCTCCCTCTGGCCTTCGCAATGTCCAGGCTTCTGCGGTGCAGGCTCGAGGATGTGACGCTGCAGCCACGTATATTTGACATGAACCGAGAGCTGGTCAAGAACATGGTTGGCGGGAAGGTGGCTACCAGCGACAGCGATGCCCTCAGGATCATGGAGCTGCAGCTCGCCTTCGTCCATGACTACTTCAACACCCGCTACCCCATGGTGTTCTGTTGTGGCCTCCCATCCCTCTTCTCCAGCCTGCTGCTGTCCGTGCTGACCATCTGTGCCGTCTGCTGGCTCGCTGTGGACATCCGTAAGGTCTACAAGCCCCCCAATGGCGAGCTTGCCCATGTGTTCAAGGGCTTCAATGTCGACATAATCATTACCTGGGTATTCATTTTCTTGATAGTTGTCAAGGAGATATGGGAGATGCGCACCTACTTACTATCAGACTGGACAAGCCTGATCATGTTGTGCGAGTATGTGCAGCGCAAGCGCAAGTGCAAGATCAGGAGCAAAGAATCTAAAGTAGATGCATGGTCTGACAGCATTCTGCTATATTTTTCGACAAGATCAAGGATCACTGATCAAAGGAGATGGCATGGATTTATTGACCAGTATGTCTTCGTGCAGTCCTATCATGACACGCCATGGTGTTGGAATCTCATTCACAACCTAACCACAGGACTAGTTCCCAAGAAGGAGGATGGGGCAGAGCTCAGCAGCCCCATTCAAATCCCCAAGTGTGTCAAGCAAGCAGTCCTGGAGAAGCTCGGCGGCATGATAGTGGAGGCCGCCGATGAACAACCTGCTGGAGATCGTTGTACTAGCACTAGCAGTCATCGTCGTCTACCAAGGGTCATCAGGACATTGTCCAACAGCAACCTTATCATCAGGCAGCAGCTGCAGAACTATCAGGCTTACTGCAGTACCGCACCCACAACCACGAGGAGCGCTCACGTCGCCCTGCCCACAACCTCTCATATCATTCTTGTCTGGCACATTGCGACCAGCCTCTGCGAGATGGAGCTGGCGACAAAACATGGCGTCACCTTGAGCAGCCCTGGATTTCCATGGTGCCTCCTGTCTTGGTTCACTTCTTCTTGCTGCTGCTCATCCAAACCGTATCTTATGGACGTGGGTGACAAGGAAGATAAAGATAGCATCTTGTCATGGCTGGCAGGTTTTTGCTCATCCAATTCCAAACCGAGTCAGAAGACGACTCAAGGGAGGAACAAGGAAGTGAATGATGGTAAGTTGCCTGAAGAGCTCCGGGAAACATATGTCACTGCGAATAGCTTGTCGCGGTACTGCACATATCTGCTGATTGCTAAGCCTGACCTCATCCCTGATAGCTTCCTTGTTCCCAAGATAGTCTTCCAGGAAACCGTCAAGAGTGCCCGTGATGGTATCTTAAAAGGTTGTGGTTCATTACAGGAAAGGTACAGAGCCCTCAAGGACGAAGCAGAGAAACCAATCGAAGACTCTGAGAAGGAGGATGTGCTGAAACAAGGTGTGGCACTGGGCAAGGAGCTGCTTGATCATCTCACTGAGAAATCCTGCTGGTAGATCCTGGCAGGGGTATGGACAGAGTTGCTCATACACATTGCGCCCACGCAGAACGCACGGGCACACAGGAAGTGTCTCGCTGGGGGGGAGTTCATAACCCACATCTGGGCATTGCTTTGGCACTGTGGAATCCACAGCAGCAGCTTGTGGCCAAAGGACGACGTTGGGCCTGCTGGAAACAATGATCCAGATCCAGCTTCTGGCAACAACAGTGATCAGGCTGGGAACAAGACAAGGCAAACTGGAGGACATATGAGGAGCTGCCCGATTGGAATTAACATTAGTGAAGGTGAAGTATATGATGACAACAAGGGAACCAAGGAGCATGAGGCAAGCAACTCAAAGAGAGGAGCAATGTGGAGAAATGATGGGAGCTCGGAAATTGAAGAAATCTCTCAGGATGCGACACTGGAGACCACAAATGTTCAGACAGGTCCAAAACGAGACTGAAGGCAATTATCACCGATAGATTTCTGGTAAATCTGATATTTCTATTTTATCAGTGGAGTCCGATATAGTTAGTTTATCACCTAAACATATCAGTGATTTGAATTTCACCTGAAACCAGCTAGCCCAAGAACTTGTAATATTTGGTCTTATGTTTGTTGTAATATTTGTGACCATATTTGCTATTTAACCAATGGAATACTTGTAAAAATACATGAACCTATATGATGCTATACGGAATATATGCGCCATATGAGGATGGTATTCTCTCATTTCTAAATTATATCGTGCGGTTTTCTATGCTAAATTGTTTGGAAAGAATCTATATGGTTCCCTTTAAAGATTGAGAGTTTCTTTTTTCTAAATTTGGCTGAAATTCTTTTGTATCAATCACCGGTAGAATTCCGATATATTGAATCAGTGGTGGGCCTAGGATTTTGAGCCTGGGTATTCCAGATGTGAAAGGGTGTTAAATTTTTTTTGACAACCTAATGCATAGTAATATTTAACATGTATAATACCACTTTTTTTTTTTTGCGAGGATGTATAATACCACATAATTGTAACCGTAGAATACATAGCAAATGTATAACACATAATTGAGCATGATTCATATACTCATAGAATCTGAGCACGACTTGAAAAAATTTTTAACATAAACAAGTCTCAGCAGTTCAACATACCATAGTGGCAACATCTAGAATGTATGGATTGGCATCTTTATTTAGGATGATAGCATGATGCGTGGATTAACAGGGAACGGTTCAGTGATCGAATGTAAATATGAAATGAAAAAACATCAGTACCATCTGTTTCGTGGCATATATACGAACCGAATCCTTCCGTGTCGTCGTCGTGGCTCTGGCCGGGGTGCGCTCGCAGAGCCATCAACGGCCGGTGGCCTAGCGTGCTTGACTGCCTGACCTCCAGAAGCCCACCGGGACGCCAGACGCCGCGCCGGTCCCGCGGCCCCGCACGGCCGCACAGCGCACAGGCGGGGATGGCCAACTGACCCTTGGCCCTTGCGTTCGCCGCTCGGAGCCGCACGCCAGCCCGCCGCCCCCTGCTGCCTGCGCACGCTAGGCAGCTATGATTTGGGGGAAATGGGCGACAGGAGAGAGAGGGAGCAGACAACTTAGGTTTATTTATGTGTATACTTGTTAAAAAAGTATTTATAAACCTATAACTAAGTTACACAAGATCGTATGAAATTTTTAGTACAGTTCAGACATATAATAATTAGCCTAGCATAAAAATTTTATCATAATAGAACCATAGAAATTGCAGCTATGAATTAATTATAGAAAAACATATATCTAAAGCTATAGCAAAAATTTTATACTAAAGCATACCATATTATATGTTTACTACGTAGATCTACTCGTGTAAAGTCCAACAAAATTGGATTTTTCTATTTTATGATTTTTCACTGATTTACTGTGATTTTTCAAAGATTCAGCCGAAATAAAAAAAAAGTCAAAACCATTTTTGAAAACCGCTTATAACTGGTTAGGAAGGTAAATCAAACGGTTTTAAAAGTTCAGAGAGGTGGTTTAACCAGTTTTAGACTTAAGAGATAAAAAGTAGACTTTCGCAAAAATTGAGGAGGTAATATGGATTTTTTCTGAGAAAAAGACGAAAATAAATAAGCCCAGAACTAATACCCAATAACTATGGTGGGCCGATTTCTGCTGGGCCTGGCCGATTTCCTTGTTCCGCAGTGCGGGCACGGGCTAGACACAACCTGATGGGCCGGGCCCGCCCATGTTTCCCTCTCCGAATGCGCGACCATGGACCTTCAGTCCCCTTCCATCAACAACTCGTCTCCCCATCCAAATTCCAAAGGAAAAAAATATTTCCTTGCCCTAAAAAAAGTGCGTGCTGCTTAGTTTCTTGTCATTTTTTTTTTAGTTTTTTTTGGCCCTTCCATTAGTTTGATGGGCTAACGATGTTAAGGCTGTACCTGAAATGACTCTTACCTTAGCGCCGAATGCTACAGTTCACAGATATTTCATGCTGTCTCTGAGAATGTTCATCACCAACTTGACCCCTTTTTTCAGAGAAAAAACGGCTGATTCCTCTTTATTCATTCAGTGAAGTAGGTTAGCCTGACCATGCAGCAGCCTTTCTTTCACCCAAATCTCCCCGTTTCCATGCAATCATATCATGACAGCACAAGTTGGACGCGCTGGACGGAACGGCGAAACAGCTGCATTCGCTGTGCAATGCAATCATGTTCAGAAGAAACTTCAGGTGGCGACGTCACAAATCGTAAACGTTTAGCGGCGGCAAATTCAGGAGCAGCGCCAGCATGGTGAACTGTTCATTCAGTTACAGTACAACAAATATCAGCAGAAACAGTTAGTAGTAGTTGTTAATACTGAATTTGCTCAATCCTCTTTCTATGAATGCATTCTTCCTAGTCGTTTGCAGTAGTATAAATAAATGCAGGTACTAATGATACGAAGTCTTCTGTTTCCTGTAGCGTGACTGAGCAACACCGTCCAGCAAACCTGATGCAACCTGACAGCGACAGCAGTTAGGCCCAGATAGAGATACCCTGGGCATCTAATACCAATCATTAGCCAGATATGAAACAGGAACAACAAGGACAGCAGCTTAATCAAACCTTGTTATAATATAAACAACCTGCAGTTCACATCACAATCACATACTCCTAGCTTTTTTGCCAACGACAACACATTATTGTGGAGGGGCCGGGTCACACTCACATCCCGATTACTTTACTAGCTGAATTAGGATAAGCACGCCCTGGTCTAATCTGGGCTTAAATGAATTGAGTGGGCACCAACCACTGCAGAATGATTGTCATTAGCATCATGTCCAGACAAAGATCGCATGCATGCATGAACGGGGCTCGCCTGATCGCCTCACCTTGTAGCTTCAATCAGTATTTAAATGCCCATTGGCGGCTGTGAATAGCACCTTTGACTACTGAGCTCCCCCCATTTTAAGCATCTCAAAAGTCCACTAACAATTAGCCACTGGACAGACGGACCCTTTAGCTGTTGAGCGGTCTGTCTCTGTTATCATTCATTCAGGGCTTGCATACAGCATGCCTGCAGGGCCCACTAGAATGATAAAAGTGTTGCTAGTACGATATGGATAATAGTTTCTTCTTCTTCTTGAAGAATATATTATATGGACAATAATGTATGGGGACAGATTCTGAACATTGTTTACCAGTTCATAAGATAAAGTAACCGGGGCTTATCTGAAATAATCTTAAGGTATATAACAAGCAGTCAGGGGGCTTATCAGAAATATTTTAATAAGTCTGATACTGCCCCACTTTGGTCGTTTCTTACACTTTGCCAGTTTTTTTGGATGGAACAGAATCATACGAATTGTTTATGCAAATATCAATGTCGAATCTAGACAGCAACTAAGGGTGCGTTTGGTACCATACAACATTTCAATTTCTCAGCAGAATTACATGAATCACTGTCAAACAGTACGAGACACTTCGGATTATCAAGGAGAAACAATTAGAATCGATTTTCGTTTTTTACTAGTAAAGCGAGTAAAGAGAAACGTGCTGACCTTGGTTTCACCTTATTCTAGTTCAAGTTTAAAAGAATTCAGCTAGCTACAAGCCGGAGTGTCAGCTGATCGTGGGACAACAAAAGAATTAGGGAGTGTCATGACATTGGTGGTTCTATCAGATGGAGAGCTTACCCAGTGCGGCGCAGCAAGCGGAATGCGGGCACGGCTGATGTAGACTCTCTTGAGAAAGCAGAAAAAAGAGCTACTATCAAGAACCTTGAGGAAACCAAAGGTAATGCGAAAGTAAATTCATTTTGTTCTTTTTCTAATATTCGTATTGAGCAAAACTTAAGGGGAGTGGGGATCAGTTTGGGTGACAATGAAAATTTAACTCTTGGGTCTGTAGCGTTAATCAAAGAGGTAGAAAAAGAAAGGATGAAACCTTCTAATTTTTTAATTACACATGACAACGAAACTGATTCTGAGGAGGATGAGATTGATCCTGACACCTCCACTACAATCGACTCTATGGCGACTTGACGGAGGAGGTGATGGACGATAATAGTGCAGGCCTTGATGGAGTACTTGTTGATGTACCCATCAAGGTGGCAAAAGAGTAGGAAGAAAAAAACTCCTCAATAAGAAGGTAGTTGCAAAGAAAAAATTGTTCCAATGAAAAGTGTGTTACGGAATTGTAGAGGCCTACGTGACCTAGCTAAACATACTTTCTTACATGATGTGGCCGAAGATAATAAACTTGATTTTATAGCTCTATCAGAAACCAACAGAAATAGCTTCTCGGCTCAGGGTCTGCAAAATTTATGTGCGGGGGCTGATTTTGATTGGCATTGGCGGTGCCCCCGAGTGTGTCCGGGGGGTGTTAATGGGAAAAAATCAAGGATGTTTTGAAGTTGAAAATATTGGCGATGGTGACTACCATATCAAGTTTCTCTTAAAAAACAAAGTAGATGATTTTCGATGCGCCCTCTTGTCTGTATATGGCACAGCACAAAGAACACTTTCTATCAGAGCTAGTACGAGCGTGTACTAGCTGTGGAGATCTACCTTTCTTAGTAGGGGGATATTTCAATATAATCAGGAACCCGTCAGAAAAAAACAACTCAAGGTATAATAATAAGTGGCCACTTTTGTTTAATGCTATTATTGAAATATTGAATTTAAGAGAATTAGAGATGACGGGTAGAAAATACAAGTGGGCTAATTATGCAGAGGTTCTAACTTATGAAAAGTTGGACCGCATCTTGGTAACAACAGAGTGGGAACAAAAAATTCCGCTTGCTTCTATTCAGGCACTCATCCGGGAAATCTCATATCACACACCGCTTTTGCTAGATGGAGGGGAACCATCTCACGGAGGCAACGTTAGGAATTTTAAATTCGAGTTAGGGTGGCTAACAAGGGATGATTTCTTTGAGTAAGTGAAGGAGGTTTGGGAGTCTGAGAATAGGGGTAGATCACCCATGGAACGGTGGCTA